CAACCCTCACAAAGCAGCTGCTTCACTCACTGGTGCTGCCACCAAGACTACTTCACTACCGCCACCACCTCCAGACAAGGCCTGCAAGCCTTGGGCCATGCAGCGGCGCAGCTTTGCTGAGGCGGCGTGTTTGGGTATGGATCGAAGCTGTTTTCCGACAATGCAGCCAACACTTCCACGCAGAGTTTGCCATCTGCTTGTGATTTTGGGGCTCCAGGTTTCCGAGAGAACCGAGAGATGCAGTGTTGTCGATGTCTATCCGGAGATGTGCGCAGGAGTAAGAACAGAGCTAGCAGCAGGAGCAGGAGCAGAGGCCATCGTCGTTGTTTCGGCGGAAATCGACAGATCCTCGCAACCCAGCACCACATACCCCAAAGTTTGGCGCTCCTGCCACAGCCTGTTTGCCAGAATACCGGCCTGAGCAGCCGCAGCTCCAGAATCAGAAGGACCGCCACAAAAAGTGAATCATATACCACCAACCCGAACCAGGCCAACATTCTTTAGCAACGCACCCCCCAAAAGACCCACCACACCCCATAAAGTGCTAGAGATCCAGAAAGACCACTTGGAGGTTCATGGGTGGTTATAAGTAGGGTAACTATAATTATAACGCACATTAGGGGACTTATCATTATAATTATAACCCACGTTAGGGGACTCATTAGAACAATTATAACCCACATTAGGGGACTTATTATAATTCCACTTATAACTCCCCATGAACCTCCGAGCAGGCTCCCGCAGCCGCTGTGGCGACCGGTCTGCTGGCTACAGGAGCCTTCGCCTCAGAGTTCTCCGGGGCCGAGTCTCGAACCCTAATACTAAATAATACTCATACTATACTAAATAGTATTAGTACTAATATCTATATCAGCTGTTAAAATATGTTACCATTAGTATTAGTATTAGTATTAGTATTAGTATTAGTATTTATAGAAGTATTACGTAGCATTAGTATTAGTCCTACAGTACCCGTAAAGAGGATCCTGTTATAGTCTCCTATACTACCCTTAAAGGGGAACCCTATTGTAGTACCCTATAGTACCTTTGAAGGGAACCCCATTATAGTGCCCGCAAGAGGAACGGCAATCCCCGAACCACGCCAGAGCCAGGATCATATACTCCTACTCTTCATTGGCTAAAAGCGAGAGTTAAAGAGCTGGTGCTTCTTCTTGCGGGTGGTCTAGTTTGACTGTTGAGGCCCTTGCGTGGGCGGTTCCTTCCGGTGTCGGGGCCTGAGGAGCTCGCCTGGAGATATAGGGAACAGAGTGAACAGAGGACCGACAACAACACTATTCACAAGCAAGCGAAGGTAATCAGAGCTTTTCTGGGATGAGGCTTTCGCGTCTAGGGTGGAAGAGGCTTACTGCACTCAGATCCAAGGGAGTTTTCGTCGACAGAGTCACTCGAACCCCTCGCCTCCGATTCCAAGCACCACGAGTACTGCCGGTTGTCTTTGCTGTAGCCTATACTGGGCCCGACGAAGCTTCAACCCGCAAATTAAACTAGCCATGTGATTGACATCGTGACTGAGATGACTACAACGCTTGCACTTCCGACTTACTAGTTGTGAATGTCACTGCTGACATCATGGTCATCGCTGTCATTCCTGTTGTTATGCTTTGGTTGGCTCGAAGACTTGCATGTTGAGTTGTCATTAGTGCAGGCGATTCGAATGATGGGATCTTTAGCATTTCAACTTAAGCACAGCCCCGTGGCCCACATGGGCGAAACCTTCGATTTGTTCGTTTTCGTCCTCCCACTCAGACCTGCCGTCTTGCCTTCTGTTTGCAGTACCGACCGACCCTCTGTCTGGGAATCGGTTCGTCCTCCGAAAGTTTCAATAGTATGCTGCACGAATACATTGAGTCAATGCCGGAATTAACAAAGCCCCTAGCATCGCAGACCTCGCCACTGCTCGGAAGCGGCTGGACATGTGTGAAAAAGGGATGTCGGACTCTTCGACCAGCATGTGGTGTCGTCGTTCACTCTTCGCAAGTTGCATCGTGGCATGCTGAGATCTCAAGATGATATTTCTTGTATCAACACTTTTGCCACTACATCAGCCTGTAGAATGCTGCTGGAGCACGTGCGTCGTGCAGCGGAAAGGAAAACCGTTCCTAAGAAAACATGCGCGGAGACACTGAGATGCCTGCAGGTTCACACACCCAGCCTCAGAGGGCAAGGCAGGACCTGTTCGAAAACACCCGCAGTTTGTGGAACGTGAGATGTTCATCGGTGTGGCGGAATGAATATAGGGGCCTTAAAATGATAGAATTATAATATACCCCAAAACCCTATTCTCATTATTGAGGCCCCTACATTGGCATCGGGTTGCGCTTGAAGTCTTCGACGGACCCGCAGACCGCTGCCACGCACGAAGGTACAGTTCCTTCGCTCTCGCGTTCGTCTGCACCAGGCATCCGCACTTCTTTTCAATGAAGTTATTTTGTCGACTCCCCTGTACCGGGAATAGTACGAGTAGTACTAAAAGTACTAGTAATAGTACTCGGAATTGTACTACTCATAGAGACTTGTTAATACTACTAAAGTTTATAAGTAATACTGTGGATGGAGGAAATCTTGCACTGCTTTTAAGATATGGCACCTAGCTCCACCCCGCGCCTCCTCAACATTGCTATGAACACGGGACTTGAGAAAATCGTCCAATTCAATGGCATGAAAAATCTTGCACCTTCCCAAGAGATCCGTCGTCAATGTTAAAAATGGGTGCCGGGTCGTTGTTTGGAGGAGCACCCGAATCATAATACTATCAGGAATGCTCATAGTATACTAATGGTAATTCTGAGAAGCAGCTGTCGTGGTAGGAAGTGCAGTTGCATAAGGGATGCTTTGCTGTGTATGAATAGGCATGCAGAGCCAGCATCTGCGCCGTACTGTAGCTGTTATGTCCTTGACAAAAATCTTGACCATTATCGTCATCTCGATCGTTGTCGCCGTTGACAGCTGCCACATCATCAACACTTGCCTCCACTCACTATCATGGCTGTCATGAAGAGTCATTATCCTCATCATCCTCGTCGTGATCACCGCCACTTTCTTGAATTGTCCCCTTCGTTTGTGTTGCCCGTCCACCCGTGTCCCTTCGGTACAGGATCCAGCGAAGCTGGCTTCGGGCAGAGGCTGGACGAGCTAAAACGCATGGCTTCTCTGGGTGTTGCCCCAGGCAGTGCTCAGCAAACAGGGGACCCAACTATGTCGAACCCTAACAACGGTTCTCTGATTATAAGAAGCGCATGTTCAGGCCTACTATTTGTCGCAAAACCAACACCAAAAGTTCACATCACAACCAAAAGTTCATAATATATATATATATATATACTTATTTATTTATTTAGACATGTGTGCATATGCATCCATACATACATACCTACCTACGTACGTACATACATCCATACATATATATATATATATACAAAACCAGTACTTTTTGTCTTGTTTGCCCTCGGAGAATCCCCAGGCCTTGGGCCTGTGCGGGAGCAGCCGCCATCCTTGCTGGAGGCCTGTGCTGTGGATAACCGTAGGGCACTTGACTAGTTAGGACAGGTATAAGGAACTTCTTGATGCAGGTTGCAAGGAGGGGTCCTGGTTGGGTTGGAGCTGAAATTTCCTCTTGGCCATATCCACCCTACTACCAAGGGGATATTCACCCTTCACATGTCGTCCATCCGGCTGTGACTTGGCTCTCCTCGCCGATCCTTTGAAAAACGGGGGTTCTTACCCTGCAAGCCAGGAGTCAAGAAAGCCTTGTCTCGTTCCAGATTGGTTGGGAACCCAGACTTCCAGTTGGCTTTGCGTGAGGTTTGTGTACTCAATCATGTCATTTGGAGGTGGTGGTAAGTGTTTGTTTACACTAATGCTGATAACCGGCCGATCTTCTGATGGCAATGACGACGAATGTCAAAACTAATATATGAGACTATGGTGCTGGTAAGGGTGCGAATTCCTTTGGCAGGAACAGCAGTCGCCGTCGCAGCAGCGGTAGCAGCAACTAGTAGCAGTATAGCTCTAGCAGTTGCAGTAGCAGGCGTTTTTTTAGTTCTTCTTGTTGTGGTTTTTGTTGCGGCTGTGGTGGTCGTCGGGGAGATGCCGGATATGCGCTAGATTCCCACTGATGATGTCTCATTGCACGGTTGTGTCTCCTGGTTGTTATCGTCGTCATGATCGTTAGCTTCCATTGTGCTTGTTTCACGCAAAGATCAGGTTTGTACTCATGTCGTCTCATTTACTCACCATGAGCAGAGAATCGAAGTGTGCCTGATCGTTCTGTTGTAGCTTGGATGATATTTTCTCATGCATGTGGCTACGACTCGCGTGTTTCTCGTTTCTTGTTGTCTGAATTTCTCCTATTAATGACAGACCGAGTAGAATTAACATGAACCTGAATGAGCTGTAAGCGTCAGTGATCCAGTAGCCATGTTCATACTTGGCTGATGACTCGGGATGATGCCGCATAACCAACAGTCACAGGGAGTAGCACAGAGCGGATCAGCTTTACGTAGAGCTTACCGCACACGTCTCAACGCGAGTTCTGAGACTGACTGCTCGGTAAGCCAAGGCCAACGGGCGGCAAACAGGCATGGTTTTGAGAATGGGCAGGGTTGGGATTGGGGTGTAGGTTCCCCTGCGACACCTGGAGAGTTCGTGCTACGGCCCACGTTCGTCATGGATGTATAACATATATATATATATATATATTGCACTTGCATTGATTCCAAAGATACTGCCTGACCCGATGCAGGCGGGGCCAAGAGCAGTGCTGCAGCCACGGCAACTGCAAGCAGGACATGCTGGCCAGACGTGACCCCTTCTTTTGCAGCCTGGGCTGTGTTTTGCAGATCTACTTGGAGGTTCATGGGTAGTTATATGTGGAGTTATAAATCCCCTAATATGGGCTATAAGTATAGTTACCCTACTTAGAATTCCACTTATAACTACCCATGAACCTCCAAGTAGTTGCAGAGTCAGTGCGGCTCAAGGAGCGAAGTTCTTGAAGCCGCGGTCGGCAGCGTCCTCATCTGCCCAGACTCTTTTTGTCGTAGTCCCTAAACCCCCAGGTACCTACTATATAGGGCCCCAGGGGCTCTAGTACCCTATAGTAGGTACCTGGGGGGTTAGGGTTTTTTCGTAGTGATTAGCGACTTGCTGCTCACGCCTTCTGCCTTCCGAGTCGCTGACAGGATTGGAGGATGGAGTTGGAGTGTCCGCCCTAACCTTCTCGACTGCGCTTGTGGAATGGTTGGCCCTTTGTAGCTTCGGAGCTTGGTGACCTCGGCCTACAAGGCAAATCCCGCCACCTGCTGGCCACGAGGGAAGCCTGCATTCACAACCGAGTACACTGAGGTAGGGCCTCTGTCGTTGTCAAGGATTTATGTGAAGATTCTTTTGTTTGCTATGCTCCTTCCCTTCTGCTGTCAGCTATGGAAAATCTCCGGCACCTGTGAGGAATATGACCTGAAAGATCCGATTGGTTCCTTCAACCGAGTTGGGCGGCAGATTCTGAAGGACTGTCGGGGCATGCCAACTTCCCCAAGTTACCTCGTAAGTTCTCGTCAAGATGCACATTTAGTGTACACTACATTCTACACCGCCAAGTTGAAGCGTTTCTAGAAAAAGCTCTGGTGCCCCTATTCGACTATGTCGTCGGGGGGGTAGGAGTAGGAGGAGCAGTCGCAGTAGCTGAAGCAGCAGTAACAGTAGCAGCAGCAGCTGCAGCAGGAGGAGGAGGAGGAGGAGCAGGAGGAGGAGTACAGGAGCAGCAGTAATAATTAGCCGTAGTTGTAGTAGAAGTAGTAGAAGAAGTAGTAGCAGCAGCAGCAGTAGCAGCAGCAGCAGCAGCAGCAGCAGTAGCAGTAACCTTGCCAGTGGCAATGTAGCAGCTGCAGAAGTGAGACCTCAGTTGCAGTCGCAGTCGCAGTGAAATGATCAGCATGAGTAGTATCGGTGGCAAGTAGCTGGAGCAGCAGAAGCAGTGGTGGCAGCCTCGGTAGGGCTAGGAGTATTTACCGTAGCAACGCCAGCTATTGATACTACTTGTAGTAACACTTCCGTTGCTGCCGCTGCTGCTTCTGCTGCTGCTTCTTTGTTGGCAGTGCTCATGCTGCATTTGATGATGGTGGCCCCCAGTGATTCCTGCGGTGCTGTGTCGTTGCCGATGACATGATGATGGTTGCGGTTGAAAGCCTTGTTCCACTGCAACCCTCAATGACTCAATGCAGGATCGGTTGCTCAAGGACCTATTTTTGTAAAGACCGAGGATTGAACAGAAGCAGGCCTTTCGTGCAAATGCTGCCTATAGTTAACAGGCCGCATATCTTCGAAAGCATGCTGCGAAAAAGGAGATGGTTGACGAGCTCCCCGCACTCTACGAGCTGCCTCAGAAAGAGGCCGTTTCAGAATGTGAAGCGTCAGGGTATGCTTTCAAGGCCTCTAAGGCTGCGCAGAGTTTAGAGTTTAGAGGTGGTTTTCTCAACTACGGTGTTTAAAGTCACGATTTCTTAGCCGTACCCGGAAGAAGAGCTTTATCGCTCTGAAGTGCAGGCGAAATGGGTGGAGGATTCGCTGGAGTACAACACGCAGCTCGCCAAGCTCGGCAGGGTGTCGGTTCGGGCTTGTAGGGAATTGCGTCCTGGTGTGGCTGCTACGGTCTACGATTCTGTAAGTTTGTGAATTCATAGGCCGTAGCGGTCGCGTTCTTCTTCTGATTGCTGTCGCCGCCGAGGTCTTTGTTCAGTAACCCTGGCCACAATCGTAGGACCCTAAAATCCCAACACGTTGCCTAATACTTATGAACGCTACAGTTCCTCTGCTTCCGACTGCCGAGACAAGGCTGTCGTATCCGAAGGTCAGGTGTTGAAGTTGCTTATGGGGTCTACTTGGAGGTTCATGGGCAGTTATAAGTGGAATTATAAGTAGGGTAACTATAATTATAACCCATATTAGGGGATTTATAATATAACTACCCATGAACCTCCAAGTAGGGGGCCGAGGGAGGGAGGGGTCTGGGCAGCAAACCAGGCCCTGCACCCCGAGACCCCAAGAGTGACGTGGGCCTTCAGATGACTGGGTCCTCGTTGGATACAATTTCGCATTTTTGTTATAATAAAAGCCGGTAGGGATTAAAACTGATCATAATTTTTAATATAGCCCCAACAGTAACAGGGAACCAGAAGAGGAGTTTGTAAGGTTGCAGGGATGCCGCAGGTTTGCGACGTATAGGTGCATGCTGACAAATCTTGCGCGGTGAGTGTGAGTACAGAGAGCAGCCGAACGGGGTCCTTTGAGATTAACCGGCTTCATTCTCCCTAATATCGGTCTCTCTCTCTCTCTCTCCCTCTCTTTTCTCCTCCTTGTATCTCTGCAAGCCGCTTTCAAGGGGCACAGATGCAACCTCAGCTGGAGACCACAGACAGCAACGGTATGTGGCGACCTTTCGCCTGCGCGCACACACACACACACGTTTAGGGTTTAGGGTTTGGGGTTCAGGGAATCAGAAACCCTTGTCTTATGGGGCTTTCATTATATGTGTCTTACGCATAGCACATATACTGCAGGAAGATGTATGTTGTTCTGTCTGTCCGGCTGGCTGTCTGTCTGTCTGACTTTGAGCACATACATACAGGAGACAGATAGATCTGCAGACAGGTTCGCTTTGAATACGACTTTCTCAAACCTAAACCCCATGGAGTCCTAGAGGCTGCGGGCTCTTTTTGCGGCAGCTCAGCTGTTGCTAATGTCAGGCAAGGCGGGAAGATGAATCGCGGCCTTATCGTCGTGGAGACTGGAGTGGCGATCATGAAACACCAGGCGAACTGACAGACGTCTCGGTTCCGATTCAGAGTTTCGTTTTGTAGGGGCTGTCTCTCCTGCCAAGGATTGACTAGACCATAGCATACGGTGTCATTCGGCAATCCACCTGATCTTGCCCTGGCATGATCTGTGCGCCTGCCATCCAGGGCCGGGAGCCCACCAATGCTGACCTCAATCGCTTCGCTGTGTTGGGCTGGGCGGTGGAGTACCTCCAGGTGCGTGACGTGCATTGTTGTGCTGAAGGATTTGCAGACCGGTGTCTCCGATTTGTGCGGTCTAGGCCTGCATGCTCATGGCTGATGACATGATGGACGGCTCGGTGACCCGACGCGGGAACCCTTGCTGGTACAGGTCCGTTGGGCAACCAGGTGTATTCAGGCGATCTTAACTATCCTCATAAACCCTAAGCCCTACCCTGAACCCCAAACCCTAAACTCCAAGCCCTAAGCCGTCTGCGAGTGCAGAAACGAGAAGCAGGCTCCCCCATGTCGGCCTGCTGAATACCAACGATTTCCTGATGGTGGAGATGTTTGTACCGCAGCGGCACGGAGGGTAGCATCAGTCTGCGCGGTATCCAGCAGCTTCGTAGACCGTCCGAGAGACAGTGAGGCACATGGATGCTTGCAATGGCAAGACATACCCCAACCTCCCAGGTACCTACTATATAGGGTACTAGAGCCCCTAGGGCCCTATATAGTAGGTACCTGGGGGGTCAGGGATAGTTAAGTCCTCGCATGTCTCACGTGTCGGCTTGTGAGGTCTACAAAATCCTCAAACGACACTTCGGCCAGGCGGGATGGTACCTCTAGTCTCCATTGTAGTTCCTTTTTTTGGTTTAGCCATCTTTGTTTTAAGGATCCTATAAGGTAACCCCAAAAAGGAACTACAATGGAGACTATAGGTAAGAGTTTCCACGTGTCAGGACCTCATCCCCAAACCCAAAAAAACGCCGCAAGATCCGGTGAAATCGACTTGCACCGCTGGGCTCGACATGGCTCGACCTGGATCCAGGAACGCATCTTTCCTTGGCTTATGGACCTTTTTCTGGCGACCTGGCTGCACGTGCGACGTTTCGACAATGTCATATAAATGCGGTGGAAGACCCTAAAACCGAATGGGGAAGTTCTACACCCTAAATCGACGGAAGACAGGAGACGACTTTCCAGACAGAATGCGGTCAGCTGTTGGACTCGATCTGCGCCAACTGCGAGTTGGAGGCAACCTTTCATCCTGACTCACGTTCAAAGCGTTGAGTTAGGAACCATTGAACGTGAAGGGATTTGGTAGTTATGCGCTTTTTGACGTGTCTGCGAGCTAGAAGCATTGTTTAGAGCTCATCAGGGTCAGCACCAACCTGGTGCAGATGCAAGCCAACATCCGGCCCAGCAGGAGCTGACAACAGAGCGCTGGACGCTGATCGTGTGCCTCAGCCGGTGGAATTGTGAAAGCAAAGTTACTTTATGATCCTGTTCAGGTCTCTTTTGAGGTGGCAGCCCTTTTAGAGGTATCCGTGGCCATGGCATTCTGCCATAAGTAGGCTTATAGATGCAAAAAAAGACTCGAAGTGCTAAATTCTTCGGATCAATTGCAAGTAGGACTTCTGCCATAGCCGCAGCGTGCTCCGAGCTTACAGAAAACTCGAGCCTCGCCGGGTTTCGAATTCAATGCCTAGGTTTTGGGTAGGGCTTAGGATGCATCCCAGCCGTCCTGCAGGAAATACAAGACGGCTTTCTACTCCTTCTACCTCCCGGTGGCTCTCGCAATGCTGGTGCGCCACGCTGCTACGATGCGTTTCTGCGGAGTGCTTTCGTTCGTAGCAGCAAGAATGGTGACACTGAGCCTTAATTGGTTGGCAGCAACAACAGCAACAATAGCAGTAGCAGCAGCATGAGTAGTCAGTAGCAGAAGACAAGCACTGCGTAGCAGCAGCAGAAGTAGGAGGACAGCAGCAGCAGCAGAAGTAGCAGCAGCAGCAGCAGCAGCAGCAGCAGCAGCAGCAGCAGCAGCAGGAGCAGGAGCAGGAGCAGGAGCAGGAGGAGGAGGAGTAGTAGGAGTCGTCGTCGTCGTAGTAGTAGTAGTAGTCGCAGTAGTAGTCGCAGTAGTAGTAGTAGTAGTAGTAGTAGTAGTAGCAGTAGCAGGAGTAGTAGTAGTGGTAGTAGTAGTAGTAGTAGCAGTAGTAGCAGAAGTAGCAGAAGTAGTAGTAGTAGTAGTAGTAGTAGTAGTAGTCGTAGTAGTAGTAGTAGTCGTCGTCGTCGTCGTCGTCGTCGTAGTCGTAGTGGTAGTGGTAGTGGTAGTGGTAGCGGTACCAGCAGTGGTCGTGTAGTGGTAGTGGTGGTGGTAGTGGTAGTAGCTGTAGCAGCAGTAGTGGTAGTAGCAGTAGTAGTAGCAGCAGTTGTATCAGTAGCAGTAGCAGCAGTAGCACTTCAGTAGTAGCAGCTTTGGTAGTAGTAGTAGTAGTAGTAGCAGCAGCAGCAGCAGGAGGAGTAGTAGTAGTAGTAGCAGTAGCAGCGGAAGCAGTAGCAGCATTGAGTAGAGCAGAAAGACGCTTCGGCACTTTAGTGGGTACAGTCAGGGTTACAATCAAAACAATAATACATACTCATATCTGGAGTGTAAGCATCAGCGTCAGACAGAAGGTCTATATGTGTGGCATTCACAACAACAAGAACGAGAGCCCTCAACCCAATCAGAAGCTTAGTATCACTGACCGCCCCAAAGGTCTGACTTTTCGATAGTCTTGTAGTTCCATGAAAAAACCCCAAAAGGGAATCAACAAGCTGGGAGTGCGGCAGTCTCGCGGCAGGTCACGGGTGTTCGTGACAAGAAGGCCTTCGATACTGCGCGGGAAGCGTTGCTGCTCCTGGGCACAAACGGGTCCGTTTAGGGGTCTTAGGGTCAGTGTCTTTGTCCCCTAGCAGCACCCCGACAAGTGGCACTCTAGACAATCATGTGTAGGGTATCCTTAGACTGTTGCGATTTTGGAGCTCCAGCGCACTGCTTCTCTGCTATGGCACAGGTCCGTAGAGCTCGGCAAGTCGTAAGGCTTGTTGAGGGTCGAACTGACTTGCTGGCAAAACCTTTGCAGTGCATTCAAATTTTCACAAAAAGACAGCAAGGCATGATTGCAACGGGGCCATAGGTGGGGAACGCTGAACTATGAACCGTATCCTTACGAACCCCAAAGTCTGTCAAGCCCTTCTTTGAGTACTTCCTGGGCTGCCCAGCGTTCTGAACTGGTTGTGCCGAGGCTGATGGGCATCTACTTCCAGGCCGTCCCGCAAGACGAAAACAAGCAGGGTTTGGGGTTTACCTTTGAGGGATAAGGGGTGTTAAAGTTTCAGGGTTTTGTGAATCGAAGTGTGGCGAATCCTTCTGGTTCTGAAGAATACTTCAGGGCAGAGGTAGCAGCGAATGCACCAGTAGCTACCTGCAGCAGAAATGGTATCTTGATGCGTAATGGTAATATGGTAGTATCAGGCTCCTTTCTGCGATCAGCAAGGATACTAGCAGCCTTACTAGCATTGATCATGAGACGGACGACGGCACCATTCGGGTACCAAAGCTTCCACGATCCCTGCAGCGTTGCCTTCACGATTCGACACACATTCACTAGTCGCCTGCCGTACACCCTGAACGATGCCTGACTGTACATCCTGCACCAACCATGATGGCAGCTGTTGATCTTTGTGCTACCGCCGCTGGAACTTTGACTACCATGGTGTCCATACTGATACTGCTTCCGGAGGACACGCCAAAGTACCCCGCACGGTTTAGGGTTCAGGGTTGTGTCGAGGCTTTAGGCCCTCCACCCTCAATCCTAAACCACCCCTCAAGGAACAACGCTTATAGAGGGCCCGAATACTATTGTGGGGTTCCTTGTTTTTAGTATATCAGAGGAGAGATGTAATATAAGGGCCTAAATATTTACCCATATTATTGTTTGTGGTTTCTCATGTCATTATGGTATAATGTACCCCAAAGCCCCACTCTGCTTATGAAGGCCCCTACCTTGGGCTTCCTTGTTATGATCATGGTGCAATAGACCGCCTCGAAACCCTATTCTGCTTATTACCCCCCCCCCCCCCCCCCC